CTATGGTCTTAAACTTTTGATCAGCTGAAAAAAATCATGTTTGAGTGTAAATGCAGTTTTCAGAAAATTCCCTGCTCAAAAGTTCTTGTCTCTTGCACTGATTTTTTCCTTTAACATTGTGAAGCTCTACTTAGAACCTTCTTAAGATCCAATAGTGCAAAATGCTAATTCTTACAATTTTTTGACTGGTCTTAAGATTTTGATCAGGAGTGTATATATATGATTAACTGTGATTATGTAATTATTGAAATAATAAAAATGTATTTAGATAGCAATTAATACAGATAATACAGACTCAAAAAAATGCTATTTGTTGAAAACAAAATATATTCAGAGCGGTAATTAAGCCAAAGTTGTAAAAAAAAAATTAAATTAAAGATAAACATACCTTATCTTACCTTATCTTTAACATACGTGTAAATATGTTTTAGCCAAAAATCCTCAATAGGTATAGTTTTAGCTTCACCTGGTTCAAATTCACTGAAAAAAATGCAATGTTATTGCATTTTATACAATAAATAAAAAATAAAAAAAAAACGAATTAAAGATGTTTGAGTAACTGAATTATTTTGCATGTATTTCTAATATTGTATAAAACGGTTTAAGTGGTTAATTTGTAGAATGTGCCATTTTTTTATCCATTAATTGTCAGAATAATCAATAGATTAATCGACTACTAAGTAGCTGTTAGTTACACGTCTGGATTTATCTCCTCAATGACAGAAACTGTCCGTGTTTTTCATCTTGAGCAGCAGACATGGGAACATCAGGAAGATCAGTGGAGACTCAGCAAGGTGAGCAGAGGGAATAACGCTCCATCTTGTCTTTTGCGTTCCAGGAGTGAACTCTAAGTCGGCGCGTGTGCTGCTGCTGCTGGTCGTTCCCGGGCACCTGGTCTTCCTCTACGCCATCTCACTGCTGCAGGGAGACGAGGCTCCTGTCACCACAGCCTTCACCATCTGCTACCTGTGTGCGGCTCTGCTCCAGGTAAACTGACTCAGCTGCATGCAAACACTGGGCCTCATTTATCAAAATCTGGTATAGACGGACGGGGATGCAGCAACAATCGTATGACAAGGTGTATGTGTGAACAAAGTCAGTCCCGAAGGTGTCAAGAAACGGCAGAAAAGGCTCGTTATTTATATATTAATACATTACGAAGTGAACTTAAAAACCCCTTTTGCACCCATTTTTACAAAATACCAAAAAAAAAAAAAAAAAAAAAGATTTCCCATGAACCAGGTGAACCAAGAAGCAGTCATCTGAGGGTACGTCACATACTTTTCACAGGCCGATTAAAAATGGCTGCCACCACCTGTTACCCAACTGTGAGCTGACTGGTGCCCAGTGTTGGTGTTTGTTTGAGAAGTTTACTGCGTGTCAGCCACATTCTAAACCTGGAAAAGCCTCGGATAGTTTCCACACACACACGTATACATACAGTGAAATCAGTGACTGCTGGACAATTTTTAGTAATAAATCTCAGAAAACGGTGAATGATTTATTTAACATTGCTGGCTGAAATGCTCATCTCCACTATCAGGGAACATAAGCTTTATTTTTCTGTAAAATATTTGTTGCTCTATATTTTCTCAGTAACTTTCTTTGGTTTTCCAACCATTTTTCTTTTCTAATTTTATTGCAAAATCCAACGACATTAATCATTTGAACTTCAGTAACTTGCAACACATTCAACATATTATCACAATACAGCCACAGATTCCTGTGCATTTTATTCAGCTTTATTACAGTAGACCAATACAACGCAGTGCATAACTGTAAAGTGGGATAAATAACAAAAAGATTTTAAAATGTTTTAGAGGGGGTGTGCTGTGGTGGCGCAGGGGTTAAGCACAACCCACATATGGAGGCCTTAGTCCTCAATGCAGCTGTCGCAAGCTCAATTCCTGCCCCAGCGACCCTTGCCGCATGTCTTCCCCTTGTCTTGTCTCATTACCAACTTTCCTGTTGGTAATGAGACTATCAAATAAAGGCCACTAGAACCAAAAAAACAGTTTTAGAGGTAAAATTTGAAGTAGGTGGAAATGAGTTATAAGTCCCTTAAAGCGCAGCATATTACTGTTAAAATCTTCAAGTGTGGATACAAGTATCCACACTTCAAGTGTGCCATAACATGTATATAGCATATACATGTTATGCCATATGTTTTTCATATTTTCTGTTGGCCACTTGATGACAGCCTTTACTCAAGATGGCCACCATTTTTAGCACACAGTGTTGCCCATTTTCATGACTTGAATTAACCTTTTATGTGTTTAACATTAGCTTCCACTTATTTTCTTGTGTTTTGGTTTAGCATTAGCAGAGCTAAATTTATTTTATCCCTTTAGCATTAACACAGCTAAGTGCAGTCATGCTAATGACCTCATTATTTGACTCAGCTGTGTTGAAGTAGAGTTGCCCAGCCCTGATCTAATCGGTGAATTTAGTGCAAAATTAATTTTCCATGACATGGTGGCGTTCTTGAAAAGTGGTTGCTAACAGTTTTTCTTGTTTGTTTTTCAGAAAAGCTAGCCTCTGGGTACACCTGTGCCAAGTTATGTTCTTGTATCCACATGTTAAAGATCTTGCTGAAATAATTTAACATCTGCTTAACTATTAATAAAATCCTCTCCTCCTAAGGTTTGCCATATTGCCACTTTTAATACTGGCAAGATGTTATTGTTTTGGCTGTTCTATTGGGCACATTCAGACTCTCAGAGACAATAACGACTGTCAAAAAAACAGTTTTGTTATTCAGTTGTGGAGGCCAAAACTTGTTGTTCCTCAGTGACTTTAATAAGCTCCTGATTTCTTTCAACAAAAAGTAGTATTCAGGTACTCAGGGCAGCTGAATACAAATTCATGACACCCTTTTCAAATATTGAGTTGTAAAAAAAAAAAAAAAAAAATGTTGAGCTTTGAAGTTGTAACGTGACAAATTGTAAAAAAATTCAAGAATACTTTTTCGAGACGTACATTTCCAGTTGGGTATCAAATAGAGGTGTGCCGATCGATCGGTCACCGATCATAATCGGGCCGATTTTC